TACCCAATCAAATTTTGAAATTTATTACCCACTCAAGTCCCTTAGCTTATAGCAAAGGCAAAACCGCTGTCGAACTTCCGTAAAAGGAAAACCCTAGCAAAAGAGACGCAGCAGTTGTTGAAGTGTCAGCTCACGCTAGAATTTGTCGGGGTGGCTTCATAACGAACAAGTTTCTCAAAGGGTACAGGATATAATTCTGGGAAGAACCCTGATTACTATCCGATCAAGATAAGCGCCGTATCGTGAGAAATAACACGACTTTATCCAGACGGCTACGGAAAAATTCATAAACTTTTTCAAACACCCAAACCGCCAACAAAAATTCAATCAAAAGTTAGTGTCTCAATGGAAGCAGTTTCACGTGTTTTACAACACGCTCGTGACAGTCCATGTCTGGAAGGATATAAGAAATACGCTTTCAGTGAGAAGAAATCAGAGAAGAAAACGAGCCATTTTTCTCAAAGTTTTGCTAAGTAGAGCGAAGTGAGGACACTTTTTTATCTGTGATATTTTGGAACCTCTGACCATCCTCCTGATCATTTTCTTCTCCATACATGTGTGCTACGAAGTAGAAAACCGATCTGAGAAAGAAAAACGTTAAGAGAAAGAAAGACGCAAATCAAAAGTCGCAAATGAAAGAATGCCACCGCTTCACTCGAACTGGCTGAGCTTTCAAGAAAATGGCTCGTTTTTCCTCTGATTTCTTCTCACTGAGCGTATTCTATCTCAGACATGGACTTCAGAGCGTGTTGTAAAACACGTGAAACTGCTTCCATTGAGACACTAACTTTTGAAGAAGTTTTGATTTCCGTACCCGTCTGGATAAAGTCGTATTATTTTCTCACGATACGGCGCTTATCTCGGTCGGATAGTAATCAGGGTTCTTCCCAGAATCATATCCTGTAGCATCCTTGAGAAACTTGTTCGTTATGAAGCCACCCCGACAAATTCTAGCGTGAGCTGACACTTCAACAACTCCTGCGTCTCTTTTGCTAGGGTTTTCCTTTTACGGAAGTTCGACAGCGGTTTTGCCTTTGCTATAAGCTAAGGGACTTGAGTGGGTAATAATTTCAAAATTTGATTGGGTAAAAGCAAAATGCAGCAGAGAAACATGTGGTGGAACTATGATTTTGCGTCATAGGCAAGTCGGGTATTTTCGAAAAAATGAGGATAAAAATTTTTGCTTTCTCAAACTGGATTTCCGTGATAATATTCAGATTCGCATTTGCATGTGTCACAATTTGTCTGTAGAGCCCTTTTCAAAAACATCTCCAAATTCTAGTTTTTGGGAAATTTGTAGGTGGAACTAAGATTATGCGTCGCAGTGTAGACATTTCTAATAACGCATTTACTTTTTTTTAATGTGGGAGGTGAGTAAGTGCCGCGCCCAAGGCCCGCCTACTTAGCTATGCGGTTCTTGCGCAAGCGCATATTAACGCGGACCGTTAGAGTTGCGGCTTCCAGAAGGGAAACGTATGTACCTGGTTACCCGCCGAGGCACAACTGACGAATTCGATGTTGGCGTGAAGAATGCGAAGATTGCCGAGTGAACGATTCCTTTCAGCGATGGAATGAGGATCTTGAAGTCAAGATGATGATATTTTATATGGAAATCCACCCTTACTGATGATGTTGGTGGCCTGTGTGTAATTCACATGATAGCAGGTCTGTTTGAACTGCGGCAGCATGAAATTGCCGAACACGACCGCACTCTGCCGTGGATCCGATCGTTGTCGTCCCCAGAAGTAGTCGATATCGGCCATAGTGTAGCCATCTGAATTCCTGATAGCTATCCAATCGATTATCGACGAAACAATGTCCACGGAAGGAAAATTAAAGAAGTTAAATGTTAGTTAAGTGATGAATGTCTCAAAATGTATCACAGTTACACCAGGTCCAAAATGGTCTTAACGCTAGTGGATTGAAGAAAAAGAGGCGTTACCCGTTTGGAAACAGTATGTGACCGGAACGAACGCAACACCTGATGGGCGACATGGGGCAGTACTGATATAGGATTTATTGATTGAATTATTAGCGAAATTTGATTCAATTGTTTGGTCAAAAATCGGTGTTGAGCACGGCATCGTTGTGACTGATCCTGAGGAAATAGCTCCAATAGCCGACGTTGAACAGGATGAACAGCTGAAAAGTATACAAAATGTCAAACCGTTGTGAATATCTTTGAAGCTTCCAAAAAGTTTTTGATTCCTTCCGAAACCACAGAAATTGATTGTTTCACTGGTTTTCTTCAAAGGGAAGTTCCAAGCACTCCTCCGTTGACTTCTAAGGAAGGGCATTTTGCAATATCAACCCTTCTAGTGTCCAAGTTCGACTTTGTATAAATCTTGGCATAGTCCAGAATATGAGAGCGTAGTTGCTAAGTTTCCAACCAAGATTGATAGTAACTTTATTTTCTAATCTTCCTCCATGACATCGCCTTAGTAGTTTACACCCTGTTGAATGATTCTTGTAGGTTGAAATAGTGTTTGGACGGGTAGTTTCCTAAATGGCTTTCGACTTTTCCAGGCTCTGAAGAAGGTGAAAGCACCGAAACGTCGGCCAAATAAAGTTATTGTCAATCTTGGTTGGAAGCTCAGTAACTACGCTCTCATATTCAACCCTTCCAGGCTTCTCCACGCTCAACTGGGTGAATGAATCTTCCCTGCTTCGCTGATTAAATCTTCTCAGGAAAATGCGCCCATAAGACTTCCGCTCTTCAATGTCCAAGACTAACGGCACTTTGTAAAACTCCAGTTTTACATACCACTTGCGTTGGTATCACAAGACAAGGACCCAAAGGCACAGGCAGGGATTCCTCAATTTCTTTCCCTCTTATTCGTCCGGCGACAGCACGACCTGCAGCACCAAAATGGAGTTGGGGGTGGGGACATGCTATTTTGCTCTGCGTCTTCAACGCTAAGGGTCATCATAAGGTCATTGATAATGCCAAGGATATAAGCTTCAACAGCACGGTCACTTGAAGAACCTTTTGATAAGGATAGGCTGAATCGGCCTCAACTGTTGTAGAGAACGCGATCCCGAGTTTACGGGTCACACCGCTCGTAGCTTGCTTGAAGCTACGTATAAATGCTCTGGCACTTGGGCATAAGGCAAAGCTTCTATAGCTTAAGCGATCTGATGGCGATCTTGATTAGAATACAATTCCTAATTCACGGTAATTCCAACTCGTAAAGCTGATTAAAATTTTTTTTTCGAAATTCATGGCAAATTTATACCCAAGTGCCGATCGCAATTTTAGATGAAATTGGATTTGAGGGATGGCGAAGCATCTGGATATTCAAAGCGAAAGCATGTAGATGAGTAATTAAAAAGATCGTCATTCTTGCATGGGAGGAATCCTTCGAGACAACCGATTTGTTTCGCATGCTAAAAAGGGACTAGGTGAGTGTTACTTCACAATGAAGTTTTATGCATAAAAACGGTTCGCTATAGCTTTAAATGCTCTTGGCTCTCAGCACCAAGGATTCCCTACCTTACCTGAAATTGACTACATTTAGAAGTATCCACTACGAAGAGGGATGTCCCTTGAACCCATATGCAGCCGCTATACTTTTTCGTAGGTGGTGAAAACTCTAAAAGGCCGCTCGGACGTCCATTTACCGATTCACAAAATGCTGAACACCTTAGGTGCAAGAATCGGGGGAAGGATGAGAAAACGTTGCATCGGCCGGGAATCGAACCCGGGCCGCCCGCGTGGCAGGCGAGCATTCTACCACTGAACCACCGATGCTCGAACAACTGCGCTACGTTCTCCAAGAATAAGCGAACTTGGATGACAACAATTTAACCCTTTCGGCCCTGGCGGTGGCAATTGCCACCACCAAATTCAAACGCTTGCATTGCCGCTGAAACAGCATGGTTTTTCTAATCCTGCTAGAGGTTGCTTCAGTCAACCTTCCCCTTCCTAATTATGAGCTAAACCTGCCATTTCATTGTGTGTTGCTGTTAGTATTACAAGTATTTGTGTACAAGTGCAACAATGAATGGGCGCTGACCCCCGCAACCGGCCAAGTAAGTGTGACTTTTTCTTAAAATACTTGAAGTAGATCCATTCCTAAATCAAAATTATGGGTTATAATGTTATGCAAGATTATAAACTTTTTCGGCATAACTATGAAATTTCGAATTGTTTCGACATAAGCTTAAAAACTAAGAAGGTGGGCCAATTTTCAAAGCTTCTTAGTTTCTTTGTTTGTGATCGAATAGCTTCCAAATTTCGCCATAATGATACCTATATGCTCACAAGTAATAAACAATAGCTAGAAGAAAAATTTCTCCACGGGGAAAAATTCAGGTCCGAAAGGGTTAAAAGGATTCCAGCAGATCCCAATTTCCCCAATTCCTAGAAGAGAGTAAAGAGAACGGCTTTCTAGTCAAAATCAGACAAAACCGCGCGGGGAATAAGACAAATGCTAGTCACCCTCAGTGGGAAATAGACATAGACATACATAGTCCCTAAAATACAGGGCCAGGAAATCATTGCGCGCTGCGTTGAAGCTGGATGTTGACTTTGATTTTTCCATTTTCACTTAGTACTGATGACGTCTTAGAGAGGTCATCTTTTTAGGTATCCCTTGAACAGATACAGAAAAGCTTCATGAAAACTCACAGCAGGAAAGCTCCATCGCGAGTACTTGTCGATATTGGACGGTCGAAGAAGGCACTTCCATGTGAAGCGTCGGTGTACCCGCACCGCTTTCATCATCATTAGTGATGAAGTGCCCGAATCGCGACTGAAATTGGACGACTTTAGTTAATAGCCACAACTCAAAATTGATGTGTACAGTGGTACTAAGAGCCAAATGAAAGGAAGCCCTACCTCACGCACGATTCCTCAGGGGGCGGTACAGGGCAATGGCAGTCCAATTCCTAAAATGCAGTTTTAGTAAATTTGCCTGTCGGAAGACTATCTGCTATGGTACAATCAGAGCATCGAGCAGTCATCCCATGTCAGACCATACAATACCGATCGTAGCAGGTCGCAATGAGTTGCAAACGCGCGTGCGGACATGCACATGAGATATGCATGACATTCAAAGAGGAGCTGTACCTGAAGAGTGAGCGGGGCTCGTTGACCTTCTGGAATGTAGAGATTCGAGTTGGTGTCCGTTGACGAGTAGAACGGTCGATAAGCCTCGGTTGAAGTAAGCTGGCATGGAGACAGTGCGCGATGGCGGCTGCTCAGTTGTCGATGGCCTACTGGTCGCAGCTCTGAAAAATGAGCAGGAATCACTACTTCGTCGAACCAAGCCACTTCTTAATGATTTTTGTTGGGCTTTCAATTGGAGGTAGTTTGTTTGGGACTCTAAGTGAAAAATCTGCTCACGTCATCAAAGGTTCAATAAGCTCTGCAATGATCTAGATAGCACTGGGCGACCAACTGCGCTGCCTCTTCAGTAGAACAAGTGAAATAGTAATCAAAAACTAAAGGCAGTGAATACAATGACCGGAGTGGGTGGAGCGGTTTTGATGACGTCGGATATCATTGGTAGACCAGGACCCTCAGCTCGCTGTGGAGGGGACCCTATAGCCCTTGCACCACAATGCTCAATGGCGTCACCAAAACCGCTCCGCCCCCAAGCCATTATATTCAGTACTGTTAAGAGTTACTGCGTCCCATTGGTTGGCTCAAGGCGCTCAAACAACAAAAAGGAACCCGCGCAAAAGATGAGTAGCTGGTGAATCCCAAAGAGGCATCAGAATGAAGCACCTGCTCTTGTTGTTCTCCTGTAACTCACTTATCTTCCTTCTTTTTCGCCTGCAATTTCATCCGCTTGTTGATATAACCGACCGCAGCGTACTCGAGCAGGGAACAGAAGACCATCATAAAACATACTCCTGAAATGAAACACAATCTAGCAAACATCCGTAGCTGTTAGACTTCGTTTATTCTTAGGTTAACTTTGTTCAAGCTAATATAGCAATAGACACAAAAATGTGATCAATAGGATAATATAGGGCGGAAGTGGTGTAGTGGCAAGTGGCACGCTTACCACGCGAGCGGTCCGGGATCAAATCCTGGGTCGTGAGTCGCCCGGGCCAACCAAGCCTTCCATCCCTCCGGGGTCGGTTAATTGGTACCAGACTTGTCTGGGAGGATAAAAACACTGACTTGTACATCGGCTGGCCCCCGCAAGTCATTGTATAGGCCACATCGCATTCAAACGCCACTACGAATGTACAAATGGAAGTAGAATGCGTGCCGCATCCCAAAAAGGGATGGCAATCGTATAACTTCGTATAATGTATGCTATACGAAGTTATTACGAACTCCATTTCTTCACTAAGTTGTGAGTAAACAAGCTCTGAGTGTTGTCGATACAGGTAAACGCAGCCGGGTAAAACTGGGAGTGTTCAGGCTGGGCCACGAATTAAGCGCAATCAGATCTATGTCTGTCGTAGTTATTACGGGTTGTTACCGCGGGGCATGGCCCTGTAAACCCCCCGTTCCTGGGTTAGGAACCCTGTAAGGCCCCGGGGTGCGGAGGTCATGCGTGCGGGAAACCGCATGATCCCCGGGAAGGACCCGTAGAACGACGTGTGCCTGGGAAAGGCCACGGGGGCCCCGAACCACCTCGATGCGAGAGTCACAGAAAGTAAGCAAAGTGTCCAGTAGTCGCAGCACGTATTCCCGACTCCACGAACGTACACTTACTTCCCACCCTGAAATTTTCTATTCGTAGTAGAAGCCCTCCAAAACATGTAATTTACGCGAAGCTGTGTCCCAACGTACCCCTCCATACACTCATTGGCGGAGAAAACTAACCGCGTCATCGTCTTGCTGCAGGGCTACTCCAAGTGAGTACTCCCATTACTCTACTGCTTGGCTAGGGGAAAGTGCGGCATCCTGGGCAACAATGTGCGATATTAATTTTCCTCCGCTGCCTTTCTCGCACTTGTGGGCTTAGCTCTATCCTCACCTAACTTCGGCTTTGTTTTGATTGTCCCTCCCCCACTCTCCATCAGGACATGAACGGTGATAACTAGTAAGAAAAAAGGCATATTGACTACGCTCCCCTCAAACCTCTCAAAAACAACCAGCGTACGTGATTTCCATCACATTTCGCTATCACTGCCTTCCCAAACCTCGCTATCAATGATGATCTCCGCCGAAACATCGGTAGGACTCAATACAAAGTGTTGATCATCGTGAATAGTTGAAATGTCGACTGCAAAGGTGAGTTGACTAGTGTTCTGACCAGTTTCATGGGAACTTCCACAGCACTATTGCATATAGGCAAAAGAGAAGCCTCCTATGCAGAGCACGCAATTTCGCTTCGTGTTCCGCGCCTTGGTTGCAAGCAGCTCGAGAACCGCCCCAAACTTCCTCTTTCAGCATTCTTCTTCTTCTGACGAGGGTCTGACAACAGGTGCCAGCTGTACGTATTCAATTGCCGTTCGTACTAGTGCAATTCCTTCTGCCGAAACTTCTGCGTTCGTCTTTGTACAGGTAATGCTGTTGCGACCTGGCGATCCGACCATACTACTGAACGGGTCGAAGCGTTGAAAGTGACAAAGAGTTCCTGCTCTCTTCTTTGGCTCCGGTTTGCTGGGGGGGGGGGACATCGTGGCGCAGGCGTGGAACATTCCTGACGTGGAAATTCCTGGACGACCAGTAGCCCCAAATTTTGCTTAGGGTGAAGCAAGCTCCGAGGCTGCGCGAAACAGTTTGTGCAAGAAAAGGGAACTAAGGCATGTATTAGAATTACGGAAAGCATTTGCCGTAACTTTTGGAGGGCATTGAGTCTGACTGTGAAACCTTGCCAAACCTTACCCGACGTATATGTACCAGGCCAGCATATACGGCCAGCGCTCATCTACGAAAGCAATAAGGGCTTCAACAAATGGCTCACATATGTATTTCGACTGAAGCCACTGTGTTCTTTTTGCCGAGCCTTCTCTTCCCTTCTTTTCCCATCAACCTACCTTTTTCCTGTCCGTTTGCTCAGAAGTTAGGCCTAGCACCTCTACTATCGCAAGTTTCATGTGAAGATCACTCTTCCTCTTTGGGTTCTATTAGTCGCTTTTCTTTCCATAGACTCGAGTAAACTGCAATTCAATAAGATCTGTTCCGAGATCCGTTCTTTCTACAGGCTGTTCTATTTATTGAAGTTCATCTTCCATTTTGGGATTTGCTTTAGAAACCCAGCTGCAAATGTAAATCTTCTCATCAGGAGTTCAAACACGAGGCTTTTACAGTTGGTCGACGATCACTGTGAACTAAAACGGAGCGAGCCGTCAAACTGAAGTGCTCCCTGACTCATCGGAAAAAATACCAAAGAGGGCATGTGAGTGTTGTCAGCAAGGGGTTCAAGGGAGTCCATCGCTTTGCAGTAAAGTAGTATCTGAGTAAGAAAAGTGGAGAATTCGAAATTTCAGTCCCGATCTCTTCCTTCTAGTTTGCGATCAACCGACGCTCGGCAAGCTAAAAAGCTGTGAAGTTACGCACATCTACAAGGAATGTAGGCATTTTTTCAATTTATACCTTTTTTCAGTAACTGATTCATGTAATTGGTATACACCACCACAACAAACTAACAGGAAATGATCCTTTTAGCATTCGTGGCAGTAAAAGGTTAGCCGGGTCGTAAGTTAGATGGGACTAGTTTTGGTCTCCCAACGCTAAACAGAAAAATTGTGAGGTAATCAGAATACAAGTAGCGGACTCGAGGTGGTCAGGTCAAGTGGAAAAACGTCTTACGCGACGCCCTTTACCACCATGACTCCACAAATTGCTTGCCCGAAGCACGTAATCCCCTGTCCTCAACAGCCTCAATTCAAAGACACCGTTAGAACATATTCGAATGTTTCAATGATGTTAATGCTAAAGCCATAGTTTTTGAAATTTGTGATTGTTTCCAAGGCATTCAAGAAAACTCCTTCCTGATTGTAGTCGAGCTATGGCAAGTGGTGAGCCCCTTGACGACCAAAGGCGAATTTTGCTTTGATTGACTACCCCCGTCACGGGTCATTATTCAAAACGAAATCGCTCGTGCGTAACTGAATGAAACAGTTGGCGTGCCAATGGAAGAGGCGGATTAATTGCGACTTTAGTGAGATGAGTGGCCTTTCCGATCGGCAACACCTGCTCAGCTCTACTGAAAGAAGTGACAGCTACAAGGAACACCTTCGTCCAAACGTGGGACACGATAGAACCAAATGACCATCCATTTTGAGCACAGTTCCCAAGGTGACTTAGAGTGGGACTTGGAGCTCAAAAAACCCTTCTATGTATCGGGACATCATTCTCACTCCTGCGCGCGCTACAAAGCAAAACCAGAGCCACACCCTCCACTTTTAATCTACTTCAAAAACATTAATCGTTGATCCAACGATAGAAGAATGCATGTGACATGTGGAAAAACATCATTTCGTGGTTCCTATTCCATGATTTCACATCAGCTCAAATATCACCAAATCTCCTACAAGAAACCCCTTGAAAAATAAAACAAGTAATCGCCAGAGAAACTGCAAAAAGGGTCTTTGAAAGATTTTTCCAAGACGTTCAAGCTATTCACGATAACGGACCCTGCGACTGCGCGGGACTAATGCTAGGAAGAAGATGAAGGTTAAACCGTTCAGGAGATAGTCAGAGGCAATTCAGTGATACAGTCTGTGCCAGGCTAAAGACTAGTCAGCAGGAATAGTAGTCGAAGAGGAGAGGACCTAGCACACTAGCGAGACGGTTAACACCTGGACGCGTAGACGGGAAGCTTTGGCTGCGTGGTGAAGAGTGATCATCCTCTCACACCACTTATAGCAGAGTCTTAGCGCCGTCGATACCTGCAAGTCGAACCTACGAGAACCCCATTTCTTCACTAAGTTGTGAGTAAACAAGCTCTGAGTGTTGTCGATACAGGTAAACGCAGCCGGGTAAAACTGGGAGTGTTCAGGCTGGGCCACGAATTAAGCGCAATCAGATCTATGTCTGTCGTAGTTATTACGGGTTGTTACCGCGGGGCATGGCCCTGTAAACCCCCCGTTCCTGGGTTAGGAACCCTGTAAGGCCCCGGGGTGCGGAGGTCATGCGTGCGGGAAACCGCATGATCCCCGGGAAGGACCCGTAGAACGACGTGTGCCTGGGAAAGGCCACGGGGGCCCCGAACCACCTCGATGCGAGAGTCACAGAAAGTAAGCAAAGTGTCCAGTAGTCGCAGCACGTATTCCCGACTCCACGAACGTACACTTACTTCCCACCCTGAAATTTTCTATTCGTAGTAGAAGCCCTCCAAAACATGTAATTTACGCGAAGCTGTGTCCCAACGTACCCCTCCATACACTCATTGGCGGAGAAAACTAACCGCGTCATCGTCTTGCTGCAGGGCTACTCCAAGTGAGTACTCCCATTACTCTACTGCTTGGCTAGGGGAAAGTGCGGCATCCTGGGCAACAATGTGCGATATTAATTTTCCTCCGCTGCCTTTCTCGCACTTGTGGGCTTAGCTCTATCCTCACCTAACTTCGGCTTTGTTTTGATTGTCCCTCCCCCACTCTCCATCAGGACATGAACGGTGATAACTAGTAAGAAAAAAGGCATATTGACTACGCTCCCCTCAAACCTCTCAAAAACAACCAGCGTACGTGATTTCCATCACATTTCGCTATCACTGCCTTCCCAAACCTCGCTATCAATGATGATCTCCGCCGAAACATCGGTAGGACTCAATACAAAGTGTTGATCATCGTGAATAGTTGAAATGTCGACTGCAAAGGTGAGTTGACTAGTGTTCTGACCAGTTTCATGGGAACTTCCACAGCACTATTGCATATAGGCAAAAGAGAAGCCTCCTATGCAGAGCACGCAATTTCGCTTCGTGTTCCGCGCCTTGGTTGCAAGCAGCTCGAGAACCGCCCCAAACTTCCTCTTTCAGCATTCTTCTTCTTCTGACGAGGGTCTGACAACAGGTGCCAGCTGTACGTATTCAATTGCCGTTCGTACTAGTGCAATTCCTTCTGCCGAAACTTCTGCGTTCGTCTTTGTACAGGTAATGCTGTTGCGACCTGGCGATCCGACCATACTACTGAACGGGTCGAAGCGTTGAAAGTGACAAAGAGTTCCTGCTCTCTTCTTTGGCTCCGGTTTGCTGGGGGGGGGGGACATCGTGGCGCAGGCGTGGAACATTCCTGACGTGGAAATTCCTGGACGACCAGTAGCCCCAAATTTTGCTTAGGGTGAAGCAAGCTCCGAGGCTGCGCGAAACAGTTTGTGCAAGAAAAGGGAACTAAGGCATGTATTAGAATTACGGAAAGCATTTGCCGTAACTTTTGGAGGGCATTGAGTCTGACTGTGAAACCTTGCCAAACCTTACCCGACGTATATGTACCAGGCCAGCATATACGGCCAGCGCTCATCTACGAAAGCAATAAGGGCTTCAACAAATGGCTCACATATGTATTTCGACTGAAGCCACTGTGTTCTTTTTGCCGAGCCTTCTCTTCCCTTCTTTTCCCATCAACCTACCTTTTTCCTGTCCGTTTGCTCAGAAGTTAGGCCTAGCACCTCTACTATCGCAAGTTTCATGTGAAGATCACTCTTCCTCTTTGGGTTCTATTAGTCGCTTTTCTTTCCATAGACTCGAGTAAACTGCAATTCAATAAGATCTGTTCCGAGATCCGTTCTTTCTACAGGCTGTTCTATTTATTGAAGTTCATCTTCCATTTTGGGATTTGCTTTAGAAACCCAGCTGCAAATGTAAATCTTCTCATCAGGAGTTCAAACACGAGGCTTTTACAGTTGGTCGACGATCACTGTGAACTAAAACGGAGCGAGCCGTCAAACTGAAGTGCTCCCTGACTCATCGGAAAAAATACCAAAGAGGGCATGTGAGTGTTGTCAGCAAGGGGTTCAAGGGAGTCCATCGCTTTGCAGTAAAGTAGTATCTGAGTAAGAAAAGTGGAGAATTCGAAATTTCAGTCCCGATCTCTTCCTTCTAGTTTGCGATCAACCGACGCTCGGCAAGCTAAAAAGCTGTGAAGTTACGCACATCTACAAGGAATGTAGGCATTTTTTCAATTTATACCTTTTTTCAGTAACTGATTCATGTAATTGGTATACACCACCACAACAAACTAACAGGAAATGATCCTTTTAGCATTCGTGGCAGTAAAAGGTTAGCCGGGTCGTAAGTTAGATGGGACTAGTTTTGGTCTCCCAACGCTAAACAGAAAAATTGTGAGGTAATCAGAATACAAGTAGCGGACTCGAGGTGGTCAGGTCAAGTGGAAAAACGTCTTACGCGACGCCCTTTACCACCATGACTCCACAAATTGCTTGCCCGAAGCACGTAATCCCCTGTCCTCAACAGCCTCAATTCAAAGACACCGTTAAAAGGTATTTGCCGTTTCAATCCCTTTTTGGGATGCGGCACGCATTCTACTTCCATTTGTACATTCGCAGTGGCGTTTGAATGCGATGTGGCCTATACAATGACTTGCGGGGGCCAGCCGATGTTCAAGTCAGTGTTTTTATCCTCCCAGACAAGTCTGGTACCAATTAACCGACCCCGGAGGGATGGAAGGCTTGGTTGGCCCGGGCGACTCACGACCCAGGATTTGATCCCCGGACCGCTCGCGTGGTAAGCGCGCCACTTGCCACTACACCACTTCGCCCTCTTAAATACTGTTATTCATAGAAATGATAATAATCCCATATTTAGCTGCGGACGTGAACATCGAAACTGGCATTTGCACTCGGTGATGGTTATTGACCATGAGACATTCTTACTGTACAGGTAAGCTAGTCCATTCGTGCAATAAGAAGTCAGCAAAGCGCATCCGCATTTCAGGTTCCCTTGCGGTCAATGGCTCAGCGCTGAGAAGCCGGTGAGGGCTTCTTCGAGTAACTAGAAGCCTTACGGGTAGGATAGGGAGCTACTACAGTGCCACTTGACCGCACTTCTCAAAAGAGATCAACACAAGGCAATTAGAAACACAAATGGGGAACACATTCAGAGCCATATGTAATATCGCCCAATAAGATCAGAAGCGGGCTAAGGACATGGTGGCGCTTATTTAGTTGGAGGGGATGGGGGGGGGGCACCACGCTGCGGCGCGACGTTCTACTTACCTGCAACCTTTGACGCTTAGTCACAGGGGCCGTCAACTATATTCGTCCATGCCGTGCATTTTCAATACAGTAGCATGACGGGATAGTTAGCGGAAGAGACAGCCAAAGCCTCGCGCACGCTCGCCGAGCAGAGTCCTTACCCTCCCCCCCCCCTCCCCCCCGTAACTCATGCAAGACATGGCTTAGAAAAGAAAACCAGCTAGCGGACTACACAGACAGAGGCTACTCTCAGGGTCATCCTCCTATCAATTGCTTCCAAACGCGTCCTCCGTCGCCACGCGCGCCATAACATTTTATGTGGGGGGAAAAGTTAAAACATAGAAATCGCCATACCTCGCTCCGCGCATTGTCCCTTCCCAGCCTAGTGATACACGTTGTTTACCCCTTCAAAGCACAAAAGAGTGCTACACCAACACTTAGCATTACAAAACAAGTGTTGATGAACGGACCTATGACCACTCTGTCCCAACCTTAAGACCTTAATGATTGTATCGGCAGGAAGGGAGCCACGGGACAAGCGTTCCTCGCGAAAGAGCAGGCACCACTGTGGTGGGTTTTCAATGGGGTTCAGAAACCACCATATCCAAATCATCCTGCAGGCTATTACCGTACAGAAATTACTAACTAGTTGTCATTTACTGCGCCAAAAGCACTTCAAAGTTCAATTTACACTGGCCTTGATCATTCGGTGAATGACTCACCAAGACACTACTAAAAGCATCGGAAAAGCGCAAATGTTCACGGTTAATTGTGTCGTAAACGTTTGGCCGTTGCTTCCAATGTACTGGACTCCAGGCGCTGATTTATGGCTGAGCAAAAATGCGTATTCATGACACATTTCAGGCTAAACGGTCAATCACAAGGTCTGATCTTTCCCGGCTCATTCTCGATCATAAATGACTGGGGAAACAGCAGTAGGAACTGCCGTGGTCAAACATCACAATCGGCGGCACTTTTGCAAAATCTTGTTGAATCCGGCTGACTGGCACCAAACCTAGTCCACTGGGCAGGTGCTTCGCTCGAAAGGCCGATTGCACTATGAAAAACAAATTGCTTTTAGCGCCATGACAGTTGATCATTGGACATAAGAGCAGTAATGGCGCATAGTTGCTATATTTGGAATGCAATGAGTGTTAAACATGATCTGCCAAACACACAAAAGGCATTATTCTTCTGTCCTCGCTGGCCGAAAATCACTCAGCTGTCCCTGTGGGAAAGGAAGACTCGGCAAGCAGGGCTGGTTCAGCTCCAGTAATCAGGTATGGAGAAACGGGTGTGAGATCGACATCACCGTCGGTGCTCACCCCTTCTACTTTATTTGGGCACAAAAGAGAACCCAAAGGAGAAACCCGAAGAACTGCACCAAACATCCATGGATCTTCCATATTTCCCCATGAAAGTGTGCGTGATGCAAAGCCAACGTATATTAGGATCGCAAGTTTGTGCAGAATCAAAGACTGAACATCGCCACAAACAATGTCTCATAAACCAAACTCTGTCCGGCCTCTTAGCAGAACCTAACGGGTTATTTCAGCGCTGAGCAGTGCCAATTCGACAACTTAAAAGGGATCAGATTTATGTGATGAACTCTGACCCTCTGAACCGTTCATGCCGGCACATGAAAACGCATCCTTTTTCTGGATTGAGACTTCAAACCTTTCATTCCATACATTTGCTTACTATCTACGCACTTCTAACGCCTTTTACAAGACTAAACTCGCTGTGTGACCGCATTATCTTTCTTGCGAAAAGAAGGGGAAACGTTACAAAACAGGGCCGCTGGTAGGCGACACTAGGACCAAGCCCAGGAGAGGAGACAAACGCCAGGGACACATTGCTCACATCCTCCCCCGGAATCTCTTCTCATCTGAAGGTTAGCTTACTGTAGATGACTAGCTCACTTGAATGTCGCCGCCCCCCCCCCCCTCCCCTTCCTCGTGCCGCTCTCCGTAAAGACATGAGCGCCACATGGCCTAATCTGACACCACCGAACACGAGCTGCTCTTTCCAAAAGAATCAACTTGTTCCAGGCCACCGGCCAGCACCGTAGTTCTTGAGGTGGAAGGTGAACCGTTTCCAATCGTGCCTGTCGATCTTTCTCAAACCTTCGAATAACCGATGTGTCGACCATGTTTAGCAAGAAACATTGAAAACCTTTACAGTATTCACACGACCGATGTCACATCAATCCTAAGAATAAAATATTTGAAACACAGGAGGATATTTTGGTCTTGAGGATTCCGCGGTTTGCTTTGCTTCGTTTTCACCAACTCAGCACCCACAATTTCATTATTGACCTTATTGACCGCTGTTCCACTACCAATATGATCTTGGTTGTTGCTACGAGTGAACCATGAAAAAAAAAAAGAAAAGGAATTGCCAATACTGAAAGTGAAGACTACTTTTCTTTGAAACATTGAGATGTTTAGGAGAGAACTCTGAAGGGACTGTGCACGGGGGCGAGGGAAGAAACGCAAATGAACGGGAAGAGCAATAGAAGCACCGCAAGCAAAAGCGGCAGCCAATTTCCGGGTCCTTAAGAGGCCTGTCGCCGCTGCGAAGAAAAGAGACCAGACGCGCAAAAGGACAGTCGCAGCCGCATACGTAGCGTAGGCGCCATTTAAATAAGACTGTCACCATACTACGTCCCCATATTGGACAAGCACGGCGCTGGCACTCGTCCCTCTCCTCTGTGTCTCTTCCTCGACCGCCCGCCAACCCGCGTAAGGCCTTTGGGGACACCCCATCTTTCGCGTCAAATCACCCCAGTCACCTACGACCATGGAGCAACACAGCGACTGCTCGGACTACTAATCGGTAACCGCTCCGCACCCGTATGCGCGTTACGGACACTGCGCCTAAACACTCTACCTGGTAAAGCCCCGCCTGACGCGGTTACTCATGTAGACCATCCTAAATGGTAAGTGTTAACATAATTTGCTGCATGCATTTCTCATCATCGCTAACTGCCTTCTCTGAAGCATTTCATTAGATGTGATCGCATCTTCCAATTTCCCCTATCAATCGATTTTTGTTGGTATGATGCCAGCTGTCCAGGAAACTGTTCCAAACTATCGCTATCTTTTCCCATGTCAAGCTCAATTTAATTAATGCCCAGCGAGTGCCCAATTTGTCGCTTTTTCCTCCTTTTTTCAATTTACTGCCGTCTTGCAGATCTTCACTTGATTGTGATAGGCGAGTAAATCAACATGGATTACCGCTTTTAAAACCTCAAAAAAAACTACCGATTTGATTTCGAATTACTGATATGAGGATAAAAGTTCCTTTCTTCTTCTCAGGCTAATCTTTGCTTATTTTTTCACTCTGCGCTATATACTCTTAAATATAGAAAGGGAATAGGGCGCCCAGAATCATCTTCTAAGCTGTGGCTTTATTTGCTCCGGAAAGATGACTGGGTTGCCGTCCACTCAACTGACCATATCGTTTTGGTTATTGTCTGAAGTTTGGATTCAGACGCATCAGAAACGCACGAAATAAAAATAAAAAAATAAATAAATAAATAAATAATAAGTAAATAAATAAGTAAATAAATGAAGATCGGAATCCGAACTTTCAATGTGGCCTGATTGTAGCTTTTGTGCTTGAACAGTCGTGGGCTCTACATATGTCGATGTCTCACCACCTTCTTGAAAACGACTATTCAAATTTATTCACAGGTGACCTTACGGACGCCGAACGAGATCTTGAAAATGAAATATCTTGGGTTTTCCATGGTCGAGGTTGACGACGAACACACTAGTTTACAAGCGAACACTCAGCTCATGTAATTACTGGTATCATTCAATGGGCTATTCACAAGGCTATATCTAAGCTAATCTTTCCCGTGGACGTAAGAGCACTAGTACCTAAGCTAATGACTGAACTCAAGTTAGCTCAGCTTATGTTTAAATTCAAATTGATCTCAAGCCCGTTACGCTTAGGCAACTAGAGCATCCTTACTGTGCTGATCCCTTCTCATCCCCAATGTTTTACTGATGACTTTTCGGTGAAACACGAGGCGGCTCCGGATGCACCTCGTAAAGCATTACAATGATTGTGGCAGGCCAATTTGCCACGCGGTGAGAATCTAGCCGGCTGTTGTAATCCGACGGCTCATAGTACATCAATTCATGTCAAAATACACGGCTGCCCGATTGGCTGCATGACTGGCCAGCCAGGTCAGATCCGTTGAACATTCAAAGATCAACGCAGTGCACAGCCTACGCACTATGCAGTTGGTTGGCTACGGTACATTCAGAATTACAAGAAGGGTAGTACAGCTTCTGGATAACTGTTATACTGGTTTTATTTCGGGTAAAAAAGAAACCTTAGCTGTTTCCAAGTCTTCTCTTTTTTCCACACATTTGAATGTTTTTGACATAATATTAAAGAAAATTATATGATAGGGAAATTTAAGATCAAGAAAAGCAACTCTGAGGCTTTTCAAGGGGTAAAGAATGCTTTGAAGATAGAGCATTTTGAATTGATTACTCCTGTTTTGAGATGCGCCATGCATTCTACTCCCTTTGAGGAACGCAGTGGCTTTGAACAGGATTTGCCCTATATACTAAACGGGAGCCAACCGATGTACAAGTCAATGTTTTTAGTCCTCCCACCTCCTGACAACCGGTAACCGACCCATCAGGGTTGGGAAAAGCTTGGTAGGCCAGGATGAACGTCAGGACGCTAGAATTTTGACCGACCGGACGCCGCGTGGTAAACAGGCGCTACTTACACACTACACCACTTTCACACCTTCATTCATTAATTTCATTTACTTAACTTTAAAGGGTGTGCATAATTAAAATGTTCCTGAACGCACGTCAATCGAGGGAACAATCTCTAATCGAAAGGATTCCAAAGTTACTTGAAACCTGCTTCGATGTCAGCCTCAGCGCTTCTTTACTTATATTGATAGGCAACCTCAGATCACTCTTCTTTGACAATAGAGTGAGGGTTGTTAATGTTTTCTGTGAACTGGTTGAAACAATGGTTGCACTCAGTAGATGAGAATACTCACCTAGAAATATGTCAATACTCTTCACGTACGAGACTTTGGGCATGGCAGACTGAAAACAAATCAATATCCATCGATATCGTCTCAATGGTTCTATTCTGATTAGAAAATTAGCGATTTCGGCGCTATCAATATACGGGGGCACTCTTTAGAACTAAGCCTAGGAGAAGGCAGGAGCTCCGGGAAAATGAAAATGTCTCACGACCTTGGATCCCTTCTCCCCGCCTAAGGCTTAATACCGTTTTTACCGAAAAAAATACATGTATCACGCGGTTTCATATGTATCGCCATCATAGTATCATAGATCATAGTGTCCCCTGTATATTGCGATAGCGCCGCATTCTCTACGAAGCCATACGACCGATACTGCGCTCAGTTTAATTAGTAGATCTCTCAGTACTTACATTGGTAGTTGTCATCAGAGTGGTCATTGTCAACACGGTCGTCACTCCGAGTGCCACTCGGGCGGGTGTGGCGTCACGACTCAACCAAACGATACCGTATAATAAGCAAAATATAAAGAATGCCAACCATTACTGGAAGACCTGTCCATTGAAACCGGTCGATTTTCTTCCTAATAAAAATTTATTACACCAGTTCAGAAACTAAAAGAACCGAAAGTATGAAATATCGAAATACCCTACCACGAATGACAACAAGCGATGAGCACTGATGGCAGGTAGATTTGAATGATGTAGAAGCCGATATTCCTCTTGAAAAGAAAATAACTCGTAAGTCGAGAGTATTCGCCTGAAATCAGTCCTCTTCTGGATTGTTGATGAAAAAACTCGTCCAAAACTAACTTCTATTTTCCGCGTTCCTTTCATGATACTGCTACACTATAGAAGACTTCAAAAATTAATACTCTTTCCTAGGGAACTTCAATCCTGTTTCAGGATTAATGCACTACCATGAATTTCATCGTCGAAACTACCGCTACATATTAGTCATAGAGAAAATCGCTCATTCCAAAAAATAACAGGTACCCTCGATTTTCGAAACCTGGACCAGAAATTGTGCAATTGCAGAAATTGACGTGGCATTAACGTGGCATCGATTCAAGAACATCTTTGAGCACACGTGATGTCACCTTTTCATCGAGAATTTAGCCACGTGTGCCAATGCCACGTCAATTTCTGCAATTGCACAATTTCTGGTCATTTGAAGGCGAGGGTAAATGTTTAGCGCCCAGCTGCGGAGTCCAGCCAAATTTAACTTTGTTAATGTGTAATTAGCTTGAAAAGGATTGGCGGAAGTTGACTCCATCTTGGGATAGACCGCCTTGTTGATTTCCGACGTATTTAGTTAAAGATGTTCCGAGAGGGTAAAGTGACCTTAGGCCAGGCCTGAAGTTTGTAACTAACTGCCAATGCAAGAGCTTTCCTGACATGTTCTTTCAATGGTCCACAGTTTGTCATCGATTCTCTTGTCTCTCATCTGTCAATCTTATTCTCACCTATCAATCGTAGGAACTTTGTCAACTTTGAAAAGTTCCAAATGCGTGAATCGTATAACGAATGCGATTTCTCTCAAGAGCAGCAGACCACTTCAGTCAGAGTGTCAGCCCTTATCTTTCGCGAAAACGGAGAATAGCAGACCGCACACCTCAAGGGAAAACGGCCGAAAAATGTGGATTTTCTCTTTTTTTTTACCCGTAGGAAACGTCGTAAATTGTGGTGTGTGATCTGAACTCGACGCTCTTCTCGTTTTCCGAAAGGCATCTACGCAATCACCTCTCCCCTACTTGTGTCGCGTGTGAGCGAAAGTATGGCACGCTGCATCGTAAAGATTGATCACGATCTTTCTCCATCTGCTAGTGAGGTAGCGATGGTAAATTTCTGGCAAGTCTGCAAAACGCACACCTCGAAGCGCAACTGACGCTTTACAGCCCCAGTCCAGTCGTTTTTTTTTGCGGTGACCTGATTGTCTAAATGGAAAAATAAAAGAATCTAAAAGTTTAGTAGCCCTTTGTTGTCCCCCTTGGCGAAGAGCTGGCGACCTAGTCCTGTGGACTTTAAAACCTTGGGTTGTGGCTTCGCCGGGCCAAACAAGCCTAGGTCATTCCCAGTCAAATTAAAATCAAGACTCCGAATGGAAGTAAAATACTTGGTGCATCCCAAAACGAGATCGATTAACGCCAAATGCCTAGATTACTTGATGTCTATCATCTCCAAAGTGGTTGGCTTGCCAAAAATGAAATTTTCAGGAATGAAACAAGCATTTCTTCGACGCCGTCAACTGAGCCATAATTCAAAGTCGAAACTGCGTGCTTAACGTCGCTTAGAGCGATATATTTTTGCTAGTACATGTGAAGCAACTGTCGGACACATAAAACCGCACGTCGCTTGGATTTTATTGCCGGCCCTGCTCGGCAAGAACTACTGCTGCAAAAAAGCTCCAACCAACGGGCAAGTCCGAAAAAACCGTTTTTTTTTCTGCAGAAAAGTTTCTCACTATAGTAGAGTTCATGAAAAGTTTCTTCTCACAAAAGTAATCAAATTAATTACACCACCCACCTGAACTGAGCTTTTCCGTTTTGTTGCTGATCTTCACGTCGACGAGCACGAATTGTGGTAGTTCGAATTCAGATCGCGTCACGGACTCTTTCGAGGCGAACACATAGTTTATATCGAGGATACTGTAGCCGTCTGGAACGCGACGCGTGCAAGCACAGCGCGTCGACCGAAATCGCGCACGCGTCGCTGCCGCTCTCGACGGAGGCCTACTCCACTCATTGTGACGGCTATTTGCCGCCGATTGACTGTGCAGCAGCGGCACGTGGCGATTTACAAAAGGAAAGCGAAGAAACACGAAAGAAAACCGTTGTCATGCTAACGTTCGACACATGCAATCAATCGATAATTCGATCGATAATATTAGACAAGCACACGACAGAGGTGTTACGAGGATTATTAGGAGAGACAGAGAGAAAACTTTCACCTTCAGCTACAGTATCGTCGATGACGTCATTTGACGTTGTATGTGCCGAGCGAACAGACGGCGACGTGCCGCTAAAACCTGTATGAGGGGACGGACAAGGGAACGGGAGGGGTACGGTGGGAATTAAAACGTGGGTCCTTAGAGTACCTAATTAGACCTGGTGCAACCTGTGTATGTGTGTATGTTTATCGAATTTTATCACAAATTTTATGTATATGTACAGTACACGCCTACACACAGCTACTTCTACGACTACGGTACACGCTAAGCGCGTAAAATCACACGGCTAACCGAGCGATTCTGCTCCGATTACGGTATCCGAGCAGAACCATCTTGCGGTCACACCGTCTGAGCTGCGTATAAATAGGACTTACAGCTTTCAATCTCGAGTTTGCATCGTTGTGAATCCATCGGAAACAGCTGCAGTTTCATCGGACAGGTAGCGGTTACCGTGAGCCTGAAATTCACGCACATGTGGATCCTGCACAGATTTTCACTAGGCGACATGGTAGGGAAAAACTCAACACAGCTTAGAACATGGTTTTGTAAATAAAACCGAATTCAGTCCATCTGAACAACCTTTCGAATGAATTTTTTCGAAAGTTTGAATGTATATGTAGGATTTATCGTTTCCGATTTCCGATTTCCGAGAGCAGGTCTTTGAGCTAACGATGCCAAATTTTGTTTAATTCAGGCGTAGCTAACGGAATCCAAGACTGTTTTCAACAACAACTCTCATCTGTTTCTCTTTTACCCAATTTCTTACAATCCTGATGCTTTCTCAAGCCGAACTAAGCTTTTTCTTGACCAAAACACTTAAATTCTGCCAATGGCTGCTCGACGACTGATCTGCGCTCTTCTTCTAATCTTTTCCGCTAGGAACGAACAGCGCTGGAGACGAAGCAAACGGATTCAAATGCAATTATCTAGACGTTCGTGCCGTCCCCTTCGATAAGCCATCGTCGACCAAATCCTCACCCATCACGGAGCACACCACCCATTCTCTGACGGATCGTCGTCGTATTCGAGTCTAGTATAGTAGCATCAGCAGGGAAGAAAAAAACACTTGATGTTTAGAGTTGAAATATTTTCCGGAATCAATTCAATTCCAATCTGTCCGTGTCTACTGAGTCTACCAATATTTGCAGCTCTTGAAGCTTCCCCACAAGAAGTAGTAGGGTAGGAAATTTCGAGTATCATAACCCAAAAAAAATGAAATTGACATCTCACGTGATGTTCCATTTGAATTGAAAACAATCGCACACATCATAACACGTGGGGTTCAAGAATGCAGTTTAGAGGATCTCAAACTCCCGCAAAGTTTCCGGAACATCTCCACAGACGAATTAACACAGGGCATCTCAACTTGAATGTTGGCGAGTTGCGAGACTATGTTTGCAAGATTTCCACTTGTATACCAACATGACAGCTAAACTAACGGCCTAATTCCTCAGTCCTTTGTGTGCGCTCAACGGCGAAATTAAGGTTACACAGTTCTATTTTAGTATTTATTCTTATTTATACTCATGCTGTGCCACTGACGTCCTCTAAAAGAACTAACAATAAAAACACGTATGGGTCAGTATCCATTGAGGACGGTAGCCTCTTATCTACGGACTGTTAACACCGCAGTATAAATGGACTTCTATGCCCTATTCTTCAGTATTCAAAGTATAGCACCAGCACGAGAAAAATAGCACCTAACGAGCGAACCAAGAAATACCTCTCGGAACCTGGATGAATTTGAGTGGAATGAGGGACATATGCCGTATAGAGAGTAAAAATTCAGGCATGGCTAATGATTAAAAGTCGTGTGGTCGCATCGACGTTTTGCTTATTATCGCCAATTCCCTTTTAGCATTTGTTCAGGAATGAACGATGATCCCACCACGGTTTCATTACTCGCAGAGCTAAAAAGAACCTCAATGCTCTTGCTCAAAATTTTCAAAGGAAAGAACCGTTCCATAAGTGAGGAAATTATCCCTAAAATAAAGTCCATAGTCTCACGAATTATAATGCCTGGATACACTATGTTCGGACCCCACTGGCTTCCACAGTGGCACCATTCTCGTAACGATGCATACATATGACCGGATTTGACAGCGGCGGTTTGAGGTATTTTGGTCAAGAAATGCTTTTGAAAAATATCGGCGTCATTTTAAAAATTCAAAGGAAGTTCTTCCTAATATACATAAGTTGCCCGCCACTTCTCAGAGTAGCTGATCCATGAAGCGAATTCAATCGAAAAATGGCCATTGGACAAATCCAGCATCCCAGCTACACTGCCTGCCTTTATTAACTTTTAGTTTCTCAATGAATATTTTCTGAGTTTCTAGCAAGAAAACCTTCAATTGCTATGACTGATTTCTCCCCTTCTGAGGCACATTCAATTACCCAACACGGAGGTCTTGAGAACTATTCAACTCAAGGACCAAGGAAGAAGGGTGGAGGAACAGCCTACCGTTGACTAGTGTAGACCGTGCCGTCGCTGTCGATTCGAAGAAACGAGTTATGCGTGGTGGCCAGATGGAAAAACGATTTCTTCTCGTTCGGGAAAAACGTGTCCGGCTTCCATAATCGGTCCAAATAGTCAACACCGACCTGAACAAGTTCATAACAGTAATAAACATATAGTCAAAAAGAAATCCAAGAGAATCAATTCCACGTAAAAGAAAATTGATTTAACTGGGAACGAGCCCTCTTTTTGAAACAACTCAAAACAGGAATATATAATCATCTACCAACTCATCGACCCTCCCCTTCAAAAAGCGAGAAAGTGTCGGGTGCAGACCATGCACCACAAGTGACGACGGCCTTCACAAAATGTTAATGTTTTCTGCCAATGAAATGATTAGCCTGTTGTATTCTATCGATTGTCACTAATTACAACTATCATTTACCAGAAATCAGCTATCACTATGAACAACTTCTAACCAGATTTACTTGGAGGCCGTCGTCAGTTGTGGTGTTTGGTCTGCACCCGACACTTTCTCGCTTTTTGAAGGGGAGGTTACTTAAATGCTTTCAGTATTGTTGAAAGCGGTATCGGCTAACTAGGGAATGTTTTCGACGGATCACACATAATCAGGCTTCCTTAGCCAACTGAGCCTAATCTGACCTTCATGTGCAGTAATGTAAGAGTAGCGTCCATTTGCAGAAGTGATACGAGTTTTATCTGCTGCCACCCCACTCCCCCCAATTCCCCAATTCTCGCGCACTTAGCTCATATCGAATCCATTTAGTTCGATTAGTTTATATGGAAATAGAACTATCTGCGTGAATTGCAATTCAGCTTAGGTGGTGCTCACGCGCAGTTCGTCTAAAGCGATAGACATTAAGGCTCTGGAATGATGGCGAGGAAAGCCAAACGTCATTCTGTAACATTTTTGAGAGAATTCAATTAATAATAAATTAATATCTGGACACGCAAAAAGGGGCTGGGTTAGTCTCGTTGGATGCCTTTATCCTTTTTATATCTGTGTGAATATACCGATTAAAGCTCTGTAAGTGAACCGTGCAATGTGCAAGAATCCCGCTATTCCGGCGGACGCTATCGCGCACAAACTATGCAGTTGATCCTAATACGCCTTTCGCGTGCGATCGCCGGGTGCAGTCCTGGAAGTCAAGCCTGTGTATACGACGCCAGTACCCGTTACTCACAGAAGCGGTTACTCTCTGTAGTTCACTGAACATTCGATGATGGCCAACTAGTTTGTAGAATATGGTAGTAAATGCGAGTTCTCTGAAGAAAATCAGCCGGCCGATCCCAGCGATATCACGTTCCACTCTTTACGCTACTCCATTTTCCTCAACGACATGATAATTATATGCAAGACGGGGCTCCCTACGTCAGCACTTGTTCAGAGGTGAGTGTGAGCGCATAGGAAACCCTGTCAGGCGTTCCTGCAAGATTTTCGCCTGAGCGGCACGTAGCCCGAAATTTCACCGAATTGACAGAGTCGCTATCGGACCGGTGATTAGTCCTGAGTTCAGCGTTTTCAGCGCTCTTGCTAGCTGTGCTGACAAAACGGTTTTCGCAGTCAGTGTCCCGAGCCTTATAACGTCCTTCGAATCTGAATCCTTAGGACCAATTAAACCACGATCGCCCATAAAATTGCCTTCTTCTAGCTACACACGATTTAGGAGGCAGAGTCAACCGTCACGTTGGACCAATTTCAAAAATTTTACGACCCTCCTCCCTCCTTCTAGAGGGCCTAATCCGCTCTCCGTTCCATAAAAAATCATCCCTTCCCTTACTGTAACATTAACGCTACCTCGCGAAATACGACCCCCTCTTTTCCACCCCAAATACGACCCCCCACCCCTCGTTGGACTTTGTCCAACGGACGGTTGACCCTGTTAGGAGGTATCAGGTTTCTGGAGGAGCCCTCTAACAAAAACCCATACATGTGGGTATTTATGTGGGTGTGGGAAACCGCCAAATTATACCAGCTATAATCAATGTATTTCAGGCCTGAAGAAGGTGTTATACACCGAAATATCGCGGAAGATTTCAAAGGAATTCTTTTTCAATTTTTTTTTTTGGAATTTTTGGAGTATTTGGAATTTTGTGAACTTTTGGAATTCTTTTGGAATAAAATTTTGGTGCCTCTCTGTGTTTTATATACAATATTTAGGTCCTGATGAGGCTCCGGGACAGCACAATACTAAGGAAGGAAACCCATACAAACTTTTTCTCTCAAGTACCGCAGCCTGGTAATAAAGAGAAGTTGGGGCCTACCGAGTGAGCTGTTGGGGAGGATGACATGGAAGTCCCCATTGGAAAGCTGAAGCTTGCTTTCATGTGGCTTGTTCTGAATTTAGAAACCATTCTTCAACCTCAATTCATATGTACATACATGTTTAAGCCATCGCTGTCTAATCTAGCAAAGCAGAGATACAGGAAAATTTGGCTATCAATCCCTCGAATCCCCTCAAATTATCCCCAAATCTGAGACTAAAGCCTATGGTAAACACTTGAGAACGTCTAGGAAGAAGGCAATGTTCAGTACCCCGGAGTCTCTCTCCTCCCCTATGACTTTATGTTAGTCCTGAAGAGCCATATTAGAAAAAGCTCCTTGTTTCAACCGGCATCATCGCGCGAATATCAGCGCTTGCACCACGAGGCAACCTTACTTTAATGGCGCCTTCATGTTCCCAGACACATCCTACACTCATTGAAGAAACTCTTGAAAGGTAATACAGTTGAAAAAGATAAAGGCAGAGACCCACCACCTTCAAAACTTACCGCCCAAGCTTCCATTGGATTGCATGAGGCGCATAACATTAGCAGAGGTGAAATGAACACAGATGATACACCGTAATGTTATAAAGAACAATTTATGCAACGATCCATGGCAAGAATTGAGTTATTTGAACTTCCAATTCACATTCATTTTTTCTTTCGAAGGGAGATCCCGCCGAAGGTAGTGTTTTGCGTGCCTGATGGGAGCCTGCATGCGTTTCTGCGCTAGTTTTTGCATTGATCGTCTCGCATCATTTGCCATACAGAGGCATGCTAGGTCTCAATCAAGCCCACTCCGATTACTGGTCAAAAGCGCTGAGTAGGCAGAAGAAGGAACGTGGTGCCGCACACGTCTCAAACAACCTCCTCCGCTCACTTAAAACTGCAGAAGTCAGGCTTTGGTAACGTGTTGAAATAGCGAGCCCACCAAAAAAACGTTGCTACGATATTGCGGTAGATGAGCCAGTGATGAATGCACGCCAGCGATAAATTAAAGATCAATGGTCAAAGGTGAACAGGGGGAAATATCCGAGTAAAGACCAACAGTCTCTAAGTATCATGGCCAGTGGCTTTGCAAGTCGTTCTCAGGCCAGGTCATATTGAAAATCTTAACACCAACATGCTCGTGCAGCCCAAGACCTGAGCCAGCCGCGATTATAGCATAATAACCATCTCACCTGTAAGCATCCAGCCTAAACCTAAGCCTAAAGCCACGCTTAACCTTAGTGCTTCATGAGCGCGTCAACTCTGGGACCTGAACTCCCAACTAAAACGTCTCCAGGCGTGGACGATGTTCGTTCGCAACAGAGACATCATCCCCAATCGACCATGCATGGCCATACCCGCGAAAAAAGACACAGTTGCGCTGCTCACCTCCCTCGTGTATTACTCAATCGTTACAAAAAAGCGCTACATTGAAGAGGGCCAGCAACGATTGCATCAAAATGCGAAATCCGGGCCAAAGAAGGGTCTTCATTCGCGGGATTGCTGTCTTTAGCATTTTCCCCAATCGCTCACCACGCACCATCAATCCATGGTTCTAACGACCCCTTTCATCCGAACCTTAGCTTTGACCAGTTTATCAGGCGAGGTCACGGAATGGAGCACTAACTAACAGGCAAGAAGCTCCAACCTTCTCGGCCTATCCTCTAGTACTAGTAATAACATAGAACCTAGCTTTATCGCCACCAAACAACATCCATCTAAACGCTTTGCTTCTGCCATCAGTGTCTCCACTCCTGTATCGATACCTCAGTGTTAGCTACTCCCCATCTCATTCAACACATTTCCCAAAATCATCGAACCATAAAACCACGTAATAAGAGATCTGCTTGGCCATGCCGAGATCCAAGGCACCAAATGCCAGCCTAGGATCCTGCCATGTTTGCCGCATATAGAAATCTAGCGTGAAGTCCTGAAATGAAACGAACATTTATTTTTTTGTTTATATTTATTTATCACTATATTTATTATTTGGTTTAAATATTATATTATTACTTATTTATTTCTTCAATAACATAAGAGAAAAAAGAAACACCGATAATAACAGTTCCGTCTGCCAACTTCCTGGAGGCTAAGGCAACTACAATAAATATTCCAAAGCCCATAATCAATGTCTAGAACAATCATAATTCGTCCATACAGCACGCACGATCTAAATGCTCCGAAAGATCTTATTTATCACGTTTTTTGGAAAGAATGAATCTCTGACCCACATAAAACATGGACACAAGGTTCTAGGAATCTGCAGTGAAGTTCCTGCTTGCTCACGGTTGCACTTCTACTGGTAGAAGGAGTATTTCATTTCCTATATCACACAGAGGGTAGGCTCCAATTGCTTGTACGGTGACCTTTCTCAGACGCTCACCTAGGTCACCGATTCGTCATACAGTAGCTGAACGCACCAGCTCATCCACTGGCGAGTAGGGATAACTATAATAGCTCGTCAAGCAAATTCCGAAAGGAGAATTCGCCCAACATGATATTGGTCCGTAGGCCCTCCCTTCGCTCTTGTGGCAGGATATTGTAAGTAATAGAAAATCACCGAGTAAAAGTGCAAACCTGTGATGCGCAGGCAGGGCACAATGGCGGTGCATCACGTTATATTCCTCTCTGAGATGGAACGGGAGGAGCTTCATACAGGTTTAAGTGGTTTCGGTAGGCTCCAGTTATCAAAGTTCTAGCATATTTTAAATGTTTCTTCTTCAATGCGGTCAGTTCGTATACGATATCACTCAAACAAAGTTAAAATCGGCGCAATTACGCCTCATTCCCGATTATACCTCGTGGTAAGTTAAACCTGATCTTTTTGTTGTGCCAGCAAATTTTCTAGTGAGGAGTTTTGTTGACTGCTCTGAAGTCTTTAGTGGATCGTCTTTCTCAGAAGTTCAGTATATGTACGCAAGGGCGAACAGGCGGCATTCAACTGGACCTTCGAGAATGACGATCAAAGATGAAGGATGCCAATAAAACCTCATCTTGGCCATTTTGGCTTGCTTTACCTAATGATTGCTGTTTGAGGCCACGGTTTGCCATGCGGTCAAGGATGCTAGATTTTGGGCAAAATCTTCGCCTCAGGCTCGAACCAAACCCACACCTTTACCTTTTTGGGTGCTCCACAGTGAAGTTAAAAGTAAAAATGAAGTATCAATGCTCTGGATTTGTTTTCACAATTCTTTTGGCTCACGAAACGCAAAAAATGGGCATGCAAAGCGCATGGTCTTGTTCTTGAGTTGCCACAGTGAGGCCCTTGGACCGCGCAGAACTTTTCAAATGGCTCAGGATTATCACATTGGCTTATCTAGCTCAAAATATCTTTAAGATCGCTTCGAGACTTTGTGGACATACACCCTAGAAATACCTGCCGTGGCATGACTTCAGAACTATTTCTCAAAAAGGGCCGTCGCAGCTAAACGGAAAAATAATCAATCAGACGAATACAAATGTTCTGCTTCAAAACCCATCAATTCAGTACGGAAAGTTTCGAAGTGTCACAAAATTCCACAAAGTTCTGTTGCATTTTTTACCCTCTTTTCTTATATCTTCTGCAAATTCGAACGCTCTCCCCTAATTTCCATGGGAAATAGCGCAATTGGTTCTCCAGGCGAGTCCGTTCCAGGCGACCCCATTATTTCTTTATCAGGAAACCCATAGGAAGCTTTAAAGAACGCTCGCTGAGGCGTGCACTTCCGGAACAAAATTCTACGATTCAGCGATTGGTTTGGATGTTCATTTGCTAAATCAGGTAAAATAGATGGTTCCTTAGCTTCACTGATCCAAATGATTTGGATCAATGAAGCTCAGGGAACCATCAATTCTTCCTGCTTCGGCAATTGTTCTGAAGAAAACCCCTTCAATCTACTCTTTCCGTGAAAAACGCCAAAATTCTCACATTTCGAAGTGCCAAAGAACAAATCTTCAGTAGTTCGTTGACGATGATTTACTAACGCTGCTGATGTGCTCCCCGAAAGTGTTAAGAGCTGTTCCGACTCGTTTCGACTAGGCGATGAGATCTTCTCGGCGAGAAAAACCGGAGGGAGGTCAGCAAGTGTTCGCTATGCTTGCGACAATGATAAATTGATAGCAAAAAGGGCCGTTCAATCAATTGCGCTCTAGGCTGGCGCTTTGACGAAAAATCCTCACTGCAAATCACATTCACCAACGGAGTTGAAACGAGCAGCACTGCTCAGCAATTATTTCATAATCATTCAAATATTTCAAAACATACTTATAAAAGAGAGTTCGGTGCTATACAAGTAGGGTGGGCACGCCGCATTTTTGAACAGAAAATGTATGTAAGTGGGCTGCTTCCCGCATTACTTCCGAGAATAGGTATACGTGAGGCCAGGGGAATGCTATCATCTAGTTGGGGGTGATGCAGTCACTCACGCTCTGCAAGGAAAGTGGTGCGTTCGCCCACTTTGTTTTAGATCTCGAGAGTTGCGTAAAATCAAATCGGCTGCTAATTGAAGATCGCCAACAATATGATCAAAATGATTGAAAGGATAAGAAAATTCTGTAGTTATTTGGGCTTTGTATAGCATGAATTGTGTATTTCCAAAGTCTTAAGGCTCTAAGGCAACATGGCCGGCTGATTAGTAGGATACCCATCGTCTCACTCGTTGTTTTTCAGATAGTCCTGGAATCTTACCAATTGGACAAAGCAAAGCGAGTACATCACTAGGCGAACCGTGAAATTGAACTGTTTTATCAGAGGAAGAGTCCAAAATGCCTCTAGCAACTTGCTATTTGCTTCTTATGAGCTGCAAATAAGAAAAGTGGCAAGTTACCGATCTCGATGGTACGGTTATGCTCTTCGCGCGAATAATGACTGTGTCCGTAGAACTTCGGTCTCAACTTTGACGTGCCAGGAGAGCGGCCTAGGGGGCGCCCGAAACAGCGCTGGCTCAACACGTTGCACACAGACTTGAAGTCGGGTAAAATCCAATATCGACCACATATTGAGTCGAAATGGCGCGAGATATCAGAGTGACACATCCAACAAGTGGAAAACGGCTAAAGAAGAAGAAGAAACACAATACCGTTCGTTTTCAACAAGTGGATCAGGATATTACCATCCTAATATGCGGGCGAAGTTTCTTTAAACCATTCGTGACAATGTCAGTCACCGTGGCTGCCAAAGAACTCACTCGGGACAATGGCATCCACCGGTGTTGCTGCAGGGTTTCAAATGGAATTTGGAAAGTTTTCTTCCTTGAATAGAATCTTCATACCCTCATTCATCTACGCCAGCCTGGACAGAAATATCGCCCTCTTCGAATTTCTTGAAGAATAAATCTCCTGACTCTCCTATACTTGAATTCCGCGCGTCGCGAATGTTAATAATTTTCGATATAATCGAAGTCGCGTGAGCAATTCTCGACTGCCCCATTCTTCTGCGCCCACAACTATCGTAGATTTGATAGCTTCACTGCGGATCAATAAAAATACATTTATTTCAGTATGAAAAATAAAGCGAAATGTTCCTGAGCTCACCATGTCCACTTCAGAGACGGCACTAATTGATGAAACATGAATAGTGATACCTACGTCGACTGGTTTGTCACCATACCTGAAAGATTTCAAAAATATCCAATATTTAGTCATGTTACCAAAAGTGCTAGCACATACGAATCAGAAATTTGAGAAGCATAGTTATATCGATCGTGTTCTAATCAGTATCATTTTATACTTCCCATTATCAGCCTCAGTGTGAAGAGGAGAAGTTGCCATCAGCACCATGACTATCATCGCGGCACGTTTCGTGATAAATTGTAAACAAATCAAGTATTCGACCCTAATATCCCTTTTTGAGCGTCATGCATTCCTATCTCGCCCATTCGGAGTTTTCGTGTCACTGAATCCGAATTCTATAAGTATATGCAGAGAATCGGACGTCTTACTCGCAGGTCTTCGAATCAAGCTGGTATCAAATAATGACTTCCCGATAAAGGAAAGATTGTTGGCTGTGGCGTACCGTCAATAATTGATAACTGACCGGAATAGGCACACCAGTGCACTCACATTCCGCTAATTATTCGAAAAATGCTCAAAGTCCAGTGAAATTCATTGTAAATCCAGGAACTATGACTTCGATTTTCTGCAGTACAGTGGATACAAGCGCTAGGCCACATCATTACCCGCGCTGACTAAGCCCTCTTCCTCCCTCTACGTGGTTCATCGCTATCAGGTAATTTTGTAGGACGAAAATATTGAATATTTAGACTTATGAAAACCTTTGTCCAGCCCAGCTACTCATTGAAATCTCGATGATTCCGAACGCCAATCGAATGCGCGGCACACTCCTACAAGGGTTCGACCACTGCAGAACGCTTTATTCCTTCACATCGCTCTAGAGTTGGTTACTTTTCTTCAGAACTCCCCTGAGCCATGGGGAAGAATATTTAGCCCAATATTTTTTCTTTCAAAACAGAAATTTCGCTGGAAATGTGGAACATCCATTTTCCTCAAAACGCGTATGTGCTGGCAGGCCTTGCCATGACGATGCCGGCTGTTTCCGGATCCGATGTCGACTGTTTTGCAAATGCTGGCACCTGATTGACGTGTGAGGTGCATACGGACAACACAACGAACGGCTGGCCACGGGTCTACACGAGGCGGATTATCGCCCACCCTGTGGGTCCACGGACGACATTCGAATAGATGTAAGCTGAATGTTTTCTGTGAAGATCTGGTAGAAACAACGAGTTTGTTCAGCTCTGTTCGTTATGTGATCAATCATCGACAACGAGGGTTGTTCGATGTCCTCTCGGACAGGTACAGCATGAAAACCTTTTCTCACATGAACAGCTTTTACTCATCCCCGCATCCTGTGCCTCATCTGTCTCACTTGCCACCCGTAATCATGCAATAATGTCAGCAAATGATCGTCATAATAGCTTTGATTTATTGTCATGTTTACCGGTCCACAGCGGACGTGTGAGATGAAGTCAAGGTTGATTTGGTGACAGCTTTTCGGATATCTCTAGCTAAAGCTAGAGCTGGAGGCGTTCGAAATATTCAGGCCAACGACACCCCCCCCCTCGCCACCATCATCTGAGACAACCCGCTGACCACCAGCGATGACGGGGTTGCTTGTCAGCTACAACTGCCATCAAAAACTTGGCAAAATGACCATCACGTGGTAAAGTGCAGCTATGCCAAAGGCTTGAGCACAATTAATGAGGACTTGGATGAGCGAGAACGAAGAGGGGGAAAACCTGATATTGCCACTGCCACTACTGACCCTTGTCCAAATGCGCCAGAAATTTCTTGTAGTAAAGTTGGAAGATAATAGGCGTTGTAGCAATATACGAGGGCATCCTTTGAAACTACGCCTAAGAGGGGCAAAAATTTCGGGGAAAATGAAAATTGCTCATGCACCCTGGAGCTTCAATCTCCCCCTAAAGCTTAGCCCTGATTTCAACAAAACAGAGATGTCTAACGCAATTTTAATGCTATAGCAAGATACGGAGGCACTGCCACCACAATGCCACCGTATCTTGCTGTAGCGCCAAATAATATAGTAATGCTACAGTTTCGTAGGAAAATCCATAGTTGATCAGCGCTGAGAAGATTGGATGAACTGAAAATGAAAATATGAGGGCACGAGAATGATGCGTAGAATTATCTGTGAATAGTTGCGAAATGAATAAGAAGTACATGGAGCTGAACAAATGTCACTGGACCATGGAGAAACCGGAAGAATCGGAGAACGAGCACTTAAGAATACTGAAACCAACCTAAACTTGATGAGCAAAGAACAAAGTAAAATGTAAATGGAACATGAGCCATTTGCGAGGCAGGACCAGCTTCATTGAGTTGAGCATAACCAGAACGGAAAGTAGGACCAAATGACCTACCTCGGCCGCAGCCGCTTGTCGTATATCGTCTTGTTCGTCAACCTATCGAGCACTGTTGACAATTGTGAAGTGTCGACCACGATATCACTGAAATTCTCATTCTAGAAATCTTAACAGATAACTTTTCGACTTTTTTGATTGAGAAAATCTCAAGTGTGCCCCATTTTAAACAAAATCTTCCTTCCAACTTTATTTGAGATTTCCGGAAACCTTCGCTATTTCACAGATCCTCAACGCAAATAAGGGTTGAGGACATTTTTTCTATTCATGTTTTTTATTGCCTCTAGGGAATTAACTGGCGCCATAACATAGGCACAGGATTGCTCATCTATTCTATAATAATACCTTGGAACGTCAACCATTAAATAGCTCCATCATAACAAAAATACGAACTTTAGGCATACCCAGGTTCCAAGTGGACCGAACATGGAACAAATTATTCGCTCAGTTTCATATCTTCCGGCTGATTAAATAAAGGAAAGGAAAACCCAAGAAAATTCATGAAAATGGTTTCATTTCAAGCCCACGCTGTTCTACTGTATATAGAAGGGGAGCTAACAGCAAGAACTACGTGGTTTCATCTGGTTACTTCCTGTTGACTTTCAGCCAGGGCAGAATTCTAGTAGGGTCCGTCCGCTCGAGACCTCCTCCCCGACAATAAAGGGATTCTAAACAGGAGTACCACACGGTATTCGATGCTCTGTGCGCTACAGTAGTGAGCATTAGTACCTTAGCATCATCGAAAAATTCCTGCCTGGCGATCAGGAAAGGCGAGTAGCAATAAGGACTAGCGTTACGTATTTGGGTGTATCAATTAAAAATGGGCGGAAGTGGTGTAGTGGCAAGTGGCACGCTTACCACGCGAGCGGTCCGGGGATCAAATCCTGGGTCGTGAGTCGCCCGGGCCAACCAAGCCTTCCATCCCTCCGGGGTCGGTTAATTGGTACCAGACTTGTCTGGGAGGATAAAAACACTGACTTGTACATCGGCTGGCCCCCGCAAGTCATTGTATAGGCCACATCGCATTCAAACGCCACTACGAATGTACAAATGGAAGTAGAATGCGTGCCGCATCCCAAAAAGGGATTGATCAACGGCAAATGCTTTATCCTTTTATCCTTATAGAAGAAATACGAGCGTGCTTAACTCGTTG